TGATGTGCGTGGATCGTTCGCATAATCCCACCGGTAACCATGCCCTGATAACATTGCTTTGGGATGGAGTTACATCACAATATTATGCAATCATAGGCACCTTGCTTGTCTTGGGATCTGTACCCTATCTGCAACACATCTGTCTCAGAAAGGAACGTGCGTGGGAATAGGTTCCAATAAGAAACGCGACTGAAGTCGCACACAGACTGCGGCCACCTGCACTGGAATCGCGCGTGCGATTTATGCCGCATCCTCAGGTTAGGAAAAGGAGATTTTAATGTGCAACAAACAACGATACGGAGAACATTTATCATTATTGCCTTTGTAAACCTATATTCATATATATATTATATATTATATATATATTCATATATATCATCAACCTATGATTCATCCGAAGATTCTTATGTACTACATGTGAATTCAACTCCTTATCTTCAGCATATCATATATCTTACATTTGGCTACACTCACCCGGGTTGTAATGTTGAACATTTCAATGATAGATCGAGCGGTTCATCCCTATTTGCTTCGACCAGAGACCTTTGTCGTTCCCCCATCCACCAGTCCATGGGGCCTCGTTGTCCTCCAAAATGACCGAGCTTGGGTTCCGTGCAAGCATAATGACCTGGTAATAATTGAGTAAATGTTGATGGCAATGTGGGCAATGTTGTGTCAGGGAAACCGTTCGATTGAACAGCGGGATCGTGACCTATCTGTGGACAGTCGGATGAGATTGTCGAATGGCCACTCCCTAATACAGCTCCGCTTGCGTACGGAAACGATGACTGGGTCATCGCGTGCCAAGTAGTGTTTTGCAACCTTGTGTCCTCCAAATTATTCGTCCTCCAAAGTTCTTAGATAGTGGTAGGATAATGAAATACTCTGTTATAAACAGCATAACTTTTTAACAGACATTTAACTTGGAAATATACGCACGGTACAAGAAAAATATGATAGGCTTTCAATTCAGTTATTTGATCTAATGATTTAGCGTTTCACCCACATTGGTATTCTTTGGATGGGTTAAGGTATCACAATGTATTTGACGGGAGTTAGCCGCCCAAATCCGTGCTGTTTGAATGGTTCCATTATCCCCTTGGAAATGATATAGACCAAACAAAAGAGAAATTCTGTCTGCGCGTAATCGAAAATAACATTTTACTGGAATATATTGGTTAGTCGTTTTATTCGCTTCACGATCGAAACTAATATGAAACTGGAACCGATATCCAAGTCGAGTGCAGGTTGTCAAATGATTACGACGACATTAAAATAACGACTCGGAAGTCCGAAAGTTGAACCACCACCGCTGTCCACCTTCCGCATTTCTGTATTTCCTCAGGCAGCCTTTGAATTGCCACGATCACTGACCTGAAAGTTCATTGTCCACTTGTGTGCTGAACAAACTAAAAACGGAAGTAAAATCATTTACATTATTATTTCTGAGGGCTGAGCAAAACGTCTCCAAAGACGCAGTACACGAGTGTGGTGTGAAGATGACCGGGAAAGGAAAACGTGAGCTGTGATCTATTGTGAAATTGTTCAGTGAGTGCGACTCACACAGAACCAAGCCTGAGCATAGCACACAAGTCATATGGGTCGCTATATTCGGACTGTATTAAGGATGGTCGATGTCGTCGAAGGGTGATGATCTTTCAGGACTACGAATGCGGTTTAAAGCAACAGCAGAGTTCAGATCGTTTGTGACCTGCCTTCGATGATTAAACACTGTGTTTAAAAGGTTTGTGGAATTGAAGTGTGACAGCTGGTCCCGAGGATGATGAAACAGGGGCCATCCCAGTGCATAACATTGCTACTATGCGAGCGATGGTGGAGGAAGAGGAGCGAGTGACAGTAGCTCAGCTGACGAAATCCATCGGGATATCATTGGAATGAATTCGCACATGAAACTGTGGATGAACGCTGGTGGAGAATACTGCGAGAAAATGTAATGCTTATTTTTGTGTAAGAAATAAAGCGTTTTTGAGCGTCCAGAAACCTTTTGCTCAGCCCAGTTGAATATGTACTTGATTATGATTGGTCGACACTTTTGTTGGTCATGCACTCGGTGTCATCCGAAGTCATTTTCAGTCCTTTCTGGGTCACTGAACCAAATCTGACTCCGATAAGATGTCATAGAATAGTTTCAGTTTGGCAAACTTTCATGGTAGTATGTTCCAAGGAAATTTGGCTGCTGTGTTGGCCAGGAAAAAGAACGTGATCATTTGATAGTGGATAATGGATAATGGAGGCGGGGAAAGTCATATCGATTTTGTGTTTCAGACTGAGGCTCATAGGCCATTTGGAAAAGAATGAACGATTTTGCCACCTTGCTTCTCATTTCACCGTAAGCAATAGCATTGACGACCTCCGGCCAAAATAACACATTGACTTAGTGGCTCAGAAAGGGTTAAACAACATAAAAATACTTTCAATCACCTCGAATGAGAGCAGTCACATCATTAAACAATACATCTAGTGTTTAAGCTATCCAACTAAGCACCAATCTGCTTCAAATAAAAAAACTTAGATTTTGCCACTGTTTAATTTTTCTTTCCCGCCGTTATAGTTAGGTGGAACCCAGAAAAATATACACTAATAATTATTCTCGAAAATTATTTTCGATACAACCAAGCTTGTTTGTGTGAGATGAAGAGCTATGGTGATATGAGGTGATAACGAGGTTCCAATTGTACTACAGTCGGTACTTTGAATCAAATCTAAATCATGAACTTTCTTTCTTAGTTTCAACGATCCCCAGTCGCTGGCATTTTAAGTTAGAAGACTGAATTTCTACCAGCAATGCGGGTCACGAGCTAAAATCACGTCAGTTTTCAACCTAATTTTATTGATGATATCAGCTCATTTTTATTCGCCCATATTCTTTTTTTAGGAATCGAATATCAAGCTGATGCCACATGGACTGATACGCAGTCAATCGATCAAAAACAAGGAATCAAGCAGGTCTAGTTGATCGTATTTCACGGAAGATCAAACCACCAGCGACCCTGCGGTTCCCAAACCGTTCGAATCTCTCATTCCCCGTTTACGCAACGAATTCCCGTACATGTGCATTTGCCAGTGTGTTTTGGATTTCATGTGTGTCGTAGAGATGAATCGCATTGATTCACATTGCCCAGATGAATTACGGAAGGATACCGAATGTTTGGTGACATTGATGGTCGGAAAGATTGCCCAGAAACCCGTGTTCATTGGTGTTCATGGGACTGAATTAAAATATAATCCACTGAAAAGCGGTATTTATATACGGCGCTAATTTGACTGTAAAAGACTACAGAGGAATGATATGGGATGAATGTTACTGGCTTGACTGACTATACTTTTGGCTCGTGTCACATTCAATACTCAGTTGTACCTGTCNCTGTCAAACAGTCACTCAGTGAGGGCATTTCATTGCAGTCAACAAGACATTCAGTGTATCTCCAAGTAAAACCGTCCCGCCAATAACTGGTTGGCTGTTATCAAAGATAACATTTAAACAGACTTCAATGCTTACTTCGTATCACCTCCGGTCTGAGCTGGTTGCTAACACAAATGCTTTCGATGAATCCCTAACGGACCGGTGTACATGTCTCACTGATAGGCTCTAA